TGAGGGTTAAAATATGTGTTGTCAAAGCCAAGGGAAGAGAATCATAATCGCGATTTCCAGCGTAGAAGACCAGCACCTTATCTCGGAATTTATCGAAACCATTAACCCTGAAATATATTTCATTGGTAAAATCTGAAAAGAGTAATTCACTTATAAATTAACAAAGGCTGTTGTGCCTCTGGTAATTTTTCATGAAAAAAAATTCTAAAGAAGTCTTTTAGTTATGGAACTCGACCATATCTGACTGCAATATCTCGGGTGAGAAAGTAGGCTGGAGTTTCAAGTTAATTTTTTTTTTAATTTTGCCCACGTCACCCAAGCTAGAATATAAAACCAACTGGAGAGGCTCAGTTTTGTGTCCCGTTGGGAAATCCATCCACTTATATAATTACTATTAACGGTAATTGGTTTCGAAGTGAAGCGTGCACCATCGTTCCCTGACGGCTTCACCTCTATAGAATTATTTGATGAATAGCGATTTTTTTTATTTATGAGTCAGTTTTGTATGCCTATTCATACTAAAATGTGGTCCTGTGCCACATTATCTGTATTTTCCAGAACATAGTCTGCAAAGCGACTAGTATTTTCTAATTTAGACCTTAAAACCGATAAAACCCCTCAAATAAAAACACCTGCTGTTGATATTTCCTTCCGAAAATTTACCGGAAGACACTGGCCATTTATCGAACAACTGAATCCAAACATAGGGGTGGGTAAAGCAATGATACGTGCGTAAGAAGGTGAAAATATTTTTTCCGAGAAAAATTCGATTTGTCGGGAACATCTCGGATATGATACCTTTAACTATGTAAGAATTGCACTTTCCTAAGTTCAGCAAGCGTTCTATTCAGAGTAATATTCGCTTACCTGTCCCGATGCAAGTTGTTGGCGCTTATGCCAAATTAAAAAATAGTGCTACCCTTGTCTCTATGTCGTATAATATAAAGGAATGTCTTTTTTCAATTTTATTCTTTACCATACAGTTTTAACTTTTTCAAATTTTTTGTTATTTCAATAAAATTCTGATTAAGAACATTTTATGCATTCAATGCAGTCATGTCTTAGAATAAATGGAAATAGGTCTTTTACTTCTTTCCTTTATATATATATATATATATATATATATTTCAATTTAGTGTATATTTTGGAATAATTTACTTGAAGTTCAGAATCTTTTTGAACGGTCCTATGACTTCCTATATTGTCTTGAATTTTAAAACACCTTATACACAAAATTCCTATATACTAAAAGCAGAAATAAGTCTTACCATTTTAACATTAAGACATCTTCACAACAAATCCATCATGTCGATCATTATGATAATGCTACATTTACATAAACACACAATTGCCCAATTATCTTTGAAAGGACTTTTTCAATTTCACAAAGCGCACAGCAATTGTTCACCTTATGATACAATATTCGAGTTCTGCTTGTTTGTTCATTTCAAAACTTTAGCCTAAAACACATTTGCAGCATCTCTCTTGCCGCTCACCTATTAATTTTACAGGAGTATACTTGTTTAATTCTGCAAGCAGCGATGCACGTAAACAGATTTAAAATGACCATTTATACCTTCTTGTCATCCATGTCACTGCCATTCAAGCAGTCATTCTGGAAAACCTTTAGTGTCATTTTTAGACACAACGAATGCTTTTATCCAAATAAAATCTAAATTATTTAATGGGAAGCAGACGATCGTTTTATACAGTAGGTAATGTAAGGCTTCGTTCACATGCAATGTCTATTTTCTAAATTCTATTTTCTATTTGCGGCATGTCTTATGATCACGGTCTGTGCACTGAATATCCCGCCGCGTAATTACTGGCAGCGCGAGCCAGTTACTATAAGTTACTATAAGTAAGACATTGCATGTGAACGAAGCCTAAAACGCCTACCTCGAGCGTCACACGCCGTATGTTATAAGCTGATAGCATCGCAACAAATAACATGTAATGAGCTACGCTAAATGAGAAAGTAATGACAGCCAAGATAATTAGAGTGGTTTTGCTTTGTTTCTTTTTCTATTTTTTTTTTTTTTTTGATCTTTCAATTAATTATGTAAGATGAAGCCATCTCCAAATTTATATCTCCAAATTTCTCTGAAAATTACACTACTTCTAGAATGAAAATCTTAACAGTGTGATTGCTTAAATATATCCACTGTATATCCACAATATGCCATCTACTTTTTGAATTTTCTGTCAATTAAAAAGGAGCAAATTTACAAATTCTACCACGCCCGCCCTGTGAGCAAAGTGTTTAAGCTTTTAAAGGTGTTCACAAAATGCTGGTAAAGTGTGGGTTGTAATAATATTATATCCTTAAGTGTTCTTGTTAGCAACAACATAACTTTAGACCACCATATTTGTATACTCATTTTATATCCAGAAATTGCACGATAAAAACATGGGATATTTCAGAATAAAAGTATGTCACGTAAAACGTATTTTTGGCACATGGGAACACTTGAACACAGGAATGAATAACCATGTGTCAGAACGGATCAGTCGACTTCCCTGTCCGTAGCTCACTGTAATATGTTGGGCAGTGTTCTTTAGGCTGGTTCTAATATCACTTTATGTGCAAAAGCAATGTGCTGCTGAAAAAGTTGCCATGTTTTGAAAACATTTGGCAGAATATTTTGAAACTTTGCATGTAGCGGAATTTATGGCGCGTGAACTGAATATGTCACGAAACAGATAGAGATTAAAGAAATGACGTCTCAGTGGATAGATTAATTTAAAAAAAATACGACTCACACATTTAAGAAAACAAAAAAAAAAAAAAGAAAAGGTTTTGGAAAAACCATTCAAATTTCAAGGCCACGAACCATCGTAATACATCTGAAACATGGTTATTGCCTTCTGGGTAATTGTTTTATTTACAACGTTTATCATTCTTGTTAATATTATGTCAAATGTAGTAACGAGTCAATAAATGTATGATTTCGTACTCAATAACCATCAACATTATTATTATTATTATTATTATTATTATTATTATTCACCAACTGCCAGATAATCCAGTCGAGGTTCACGGTGTTCCAATAATAATTTGATTACTTACCGGCAATTTCATGCGATGGCATTTACTTCTGGCCGCAGTTACCGCTTGACCTGTGAGAGGACAGGGGTCGTTAGTCCAGAGTCCCTTTAGAAGGAAGCACTGTGTGTGGTGGGGTTCAAACACTGGAACACGTTTAGTGTTTTTCTGTCCTATGACAAGTTGTGCACGCGCGGAAAACTCTACGTTACATTTCAGTGACGCCCTATTTATATCAGCAAAACGTCCTACTACACTTGTTGGCTTATTACTTCTATCCCTTGACCAATTAGTGTCAAGCAAGCGCCATAAGCCCCGCCTCTCTCGGTTTTCATGAATAATTACAGTCGAGTAGTCA